ACGGTTTATACGGTTTATAAAGTTTTAAATATGGATATTTTTCTTACACAAATGCATCAATTGACTTCAGATTAACCCCCATAAATCAAGTACATAACCAGCCAGTGTTCAAAACTATCTCCTTACCTTAGCCCGATTCACAACGGTAAGCTTGTAAAAATGTTTTCTAATTTAAGTGGTACTGGTAGGTTTTTGTCATGCTTTGCGTCATTACGTCACATCAAGTCAAGTCACCTTTATTTATATAGCGCTTTTAACAATACAGACTGCGTCAAAGCAGCATTACAGTATTAAATAGTAAAATAGTGTGTCAATAATGCAAAAGGACAATAGTAAACACTAAATTTTCAGTTAAAGGCAGTTCATCATTGAATTCAGTGATGTCATCATCCAGCTCAGTTCAGTTTAAATAGTATCTGTGCAATCAAGTCGACGATATCCCTGGAAATTAAGTGTCTCCAACTAAGCAAGCCAGAGGCAACAGCGGCAAGGAACCAAAATTCCATCGGTGACAGAATGGAGAAAAAAACCTTGGGAGAAACCAGGCTCAGTCGGGAGGCCACACATAGACCTCAAAACATTAGATTAATCTGTGCTGAGGAGCCGTGCCAGGGCCGGAGTGGGACTCATTTTCAGCTCTGGAGGTTCATGCCATAGACCGGCCCAATTTAGTTCACGACTGACTATATTAAAATCATGTAATTAAAACCTCAGTATATAAAGTCTGCAACAGTGCACTGTTCTCTACAGCCTTGTAATTCATTGTATTTTTCTAGAGCTTTCGTTTTGATGTAAAAATCTTAACTTCAGAAATGGAAAATGAGGGACAGTTGTAATTTTTTTTGAAAGGAAATAAGGGACAGAATAAGGGACACTCAAAATATTTGTACTGTAATGAATGCCTGCCTGCAGTATTTTGCAGTATCCAAAATAATTTTAGGCCTAATGTCATACAAAAAAATTAAGAAAATTGTACCATTATAGAATTGTGACTGCACAAGAAGGCCTAGTGTAGTAATTTTAAATACTGTGAAATTACATAGGCTACATAGCCTACAAATGGCATGAAATTTGAAAGCATAACTGAACATCTATGAAACGTCAGTCAATAAAGCATTTTTAAACAATTGCACTTAAATTTTTTAACTAAAATTTTATTGCAACTATTATAGCCTTTGAATGAATGAAACTGCATATTTTTCCAATTAAAAATGTTACATTTGTACTTCAATAACAAGGTCCAAGTTTAAGAATATGCTGGAAGTGAATTTTTTTAAATGTATTTTTTTTTCTTAATTTAACAGCATAAACTTACAATAGCGAAATACGTCTTGCCTCAGGTAGATTGAATGTTTTCTTGTCTTGCTGGATGTTGGGCTCATGATCAATAAGTTGTTTGCATTCGCCCAAACTGATTTGGCAAAATCAAAATGTGGATAGTGAAAGGAAATTGCCATTAGCGCGAGTCCCGTTCGCTGTGAAGCGGGAGCAGCTGGCAGGATTTCGCTTGGCCTTAAAGCCTCCCATCAAACGGCTACGTTCATAAATAAAACAATGATTTGTGCAAAAAGAATGATTAGTTATCAATTGAGAATTTCATATGGTCTGGTGGTCATACGGCGTATGCCTGCAAATACAGGGAAAACTGCGTTCCGTAGACAAGACGCTTCTTTGATGCTACGGAACGGTTGGCAGCCCTCTGCGAGTGGGGCTGAGAGAAAATAATAAATAAAAAAGAGTGGGTCTGCTGTGAGTGCAGGCAGAACAGCATCCATATTTCAACCAAGTTGCATGACAACACCGGCCCTCGCGGCCAAAAAAAAAACAAACTGGCCCACCGGGAATCCTCCCGGTGCTCCCGATTAGCCAATCCGGGCCTGAGCTGTGCCGATGCACAACCCATGTAAAGATGATAATTCCACAAATAACTGCAATTGCAGGTTTCAAACAGAGATGGCGACAAAGAGGCAAAACTTACGGACTGCAGCTTTAATATAACTCCGATTTTGCCTGAAAGAAGAAAGTCATGTGCACCTAGCTTGGTTCGAGGGTAGGGTTGGGTACCGAAACCCGGTACCAATATGGCACCGGTACCTATGTAAACAGTAAGTACTAGAACCGAATCAGAAAGCAGATTTCGGTGCCTCATTTCAGTGCCATGCACCGTTAACTAAGCTAAACATGCTTAAATTAAAATGCCTAAAGCTAAACTTCCCTTGTATTCACATTTCTAAACCTGTTGTCCAACAAAAGAGAACATTATAACCTTTTTACTCCACAACACCAGTCAAATGCTTCCTTCTGTGATCTGATGTGGCTTCTTGTCACAGAATGAGGCAGAAAATATGTTCCATAGGCTACTTTAAAAATAATACATCGATTAGCAATGGATTCTAAATATACTTAATTATTATGAAAATACCAGAGATGGCTTGAATAACACAGATAAACTATATTGTCGCAGTCTAGTGTTTATTGTCTTTGTTTTATCATTCAAAACGTTTATATATTCTGTTTACTCAGTGACAGCTATAATAGCCATGCCTTTGTCCATATAAGGCATTTCCTGGAGGGTCATGAGTTCCGCTACTTCTGTGATGGGATATGTGGATTTTCTGTGTGATGGCGCCCTCTGGCGTCCAGTATGAATGAAACACATCATGTGTTTATAGTGCTAATGACCAATCCATCATTTTTGAGGGAATTTTTATTTATGTATTTATTTTTGAATAAGTACTGGTTCAGGCACCGTTTAGGCACCGGAACCGTTTTAAAAGTATCGATTTGCCACCGGTATCGAAAAAAACCCAAACGATACCAACCCTATTTGAGGGTGAGTAAATCATGGGGTAATTTATATTATTGGGTGAACTATCCCTTTAACACAGAATTAAGAAAAATTACACAGCACAATCAACAAACAGTGCATAAAGAATCTTCACATTACATGAAGAAATGTTATATTGCATAGTAAATTACACAACACACTTGTAGAACTTTACAAATTTCACTCTCCATAAAAGAACTTTACATAGAATAAGGAACCTTTTACATGACATTAAGACAAGGAATTGAACAGCATTACATACAATTACTGCATAAAGAACTCTCCAAACCAACCTTAACACAGCAAAAAGAATGTTTGCATAACCGAAGAACCTTCACACTGCCTAAAGAGCCTATACACCTCAAACAAGCAGTTTGGGCTGCTCTGCAAAAATTACTTAAAAATCTTCAGCTGATTTATGGGAAGGGCAGCAGTGCTCACCTTCAGAGTTCAGACTTCATAGACTATATAAAGTGGATTGTCATAAAATTCAACGAGCTGTAATGAGGCCGAAATGAGATCATGATTTATTCAATCTCTTGCTCTACTTTAAAGCTGTATTTTTCAATAAACGCCATACTCTCTGAAGCTTACTATTGCATAATGAAATATGACTGTGCTCACCTCTTTAAAACCGCTGCTGTTTTGAGCTAGTTCAGGTAACATGTTTTTATACATGTAACTGTAGCATTTCAGGGTCAGAATCAAGGTTCTGTTTACAGCGCACCCAGTGTGCTTTAATTCAAAGCTTTGGACACAAGAGACCACAAGGATCCTTTTTTAGCTGCAAGTACATCACAAACACACACATACTCACACAACCTTGAAGTACTACACAGACATTACTTTAAACTAAAATGAAATAAGCAAAGATTTCTGTGGCTCATTGCATATTGCAGCACATGGAAAAGATAGATACTGTACAAACCCAAATCCTTCAAACACAGGCTCAGATACCAAGGTCAGTCAATGAGAACAATGTGTAGTTAACAAATCTTTTCACAATACAGTGATTAAAGGAAGCAATCAATTCTCAAACGAGTGGATATATGATTTTTATAATTTAATGTCTACATCTGTTACTTTTGGATAGAGGATAAATGCATTGATCCACAACTTCATGTTGAATTATTTGTCTAGCTGTACATTTTTGCTTTGAGTTACTCATTCAGGAGCACATTTGTTTTCATTTTGTTTTGTGGTTTCACTAGACTGGATAGAAAAGCAATTGATTGAACGTGGGTCTGAGATAACAAATTCCAATGTCAGATCGCCACTCACCATAACAAACAAAATGAAGATTCCTCCTCGAACAATGGAGATGCTAATTCTGTATTAGATACATCCCCGCTACAAGTAAAAAGTGGTGGAGAAAAAAATGGGCGATGGAAAAATATGGTGACGAAAATATATTAATGTGATTTCTATGGATCGAGTGCTTTGTTAAAGGGTAAACTTGAGGTCATGGACCAGCCAGGAGTGTTGCCCACTACTACAACCAATTTTTGTCAACAGTTTAGGAGTGGAAGGTTGTAATAGAAATGAAACTTACCAGAAATGACTGGGCTCGGCCATTGAAAGGCATGGGCTCCGTGAAAAACACTGTGTCCTGCACAAGCCTCCCGTGACCCCCATACTGAAGCTTGTCCGAGTTCAATTTGATCTTATATCTGATACAAAACATGATCAAGGAACTGTAAGAAGACTCCAGTCAAACGCTCTTTGGTCTTGTGACATTTATCTCTCTCTTATTCTTTCCCTCTCTCTTGTCAGGAGTAGCTCAGGGACAGATGGTTGGTCGGATAATGATAAACGCATGAGATGTGATGGATGGCTGTGCTGTTGAGTAACAGCTCAAGACAAGAGGGAAAACACCAGAAAATGACACACAAGACATTGATCTCTATCTACATCTCTGAGGTGAGACACATGCACATTTGCAGACATGAGACACTTCTAATCAATTATACTTGTTTGAGAGAGAAATCAGAAGAATAAAAAAATTATTTATTTAAAAAAGTCATCAACTGTGAAAAAAATTATTTATTTAAATAAGTTAACAATTTTTATACTGCACTGATGCATTAAATCCAAATGACAACTTTTTTTTTTTTTTTTTTTTGGCCAGGCAGTTGTGTGTCTCTCTTTTTTTTTTAAGATTAAGCATATACTTAAATTTTTGATTTATGAAAATTCACACGAATGCTAAAAAATAATACCTGAAGCATATTAGTCATGGTGTGTTATGCAGCAGTTTTGATGATAAATACTAGCTTGTGACCCTGTAATCATGTTACATGTAATTGAATCACCAATTTCCCAATGTTTACTGGATCAAGACCCCTGCTAGTGCCCAAATTCATGTTCACCACATACTGATTCACATCACAGGGAAATGGCAGGAAGTGTTGAAGCGATGATTGCCAGTAAGTATATGTTATGTGTCACAGGGACATTTATAATTATAATGACTAATTCATCTGAGTCTTTAGTCAAGAGTTTATGTCTAAGGAACATATCTCACCCTTGCCTTCCTGTGGAGGCCCTCAGGCAATCCTCTACGCCCCCCCCGCTAGCAAACGTAATCATTAGCTACAACATAATTTACCCCCATCAGAGGCGTGTTAGTGTGTATGTGTGTGTGTTCACAGCCAGACCAGTGAACAGGCTCCACATGGTGAGGAAAGAAGCCGGGGAGACCTCACTTACTCTAAACTATGGCATTATGGGAAGAAAAAAACTAATTCAAATACTACAGGTTAGTGGATTCTTATTATCAAACGTCTCAAATGTAACAGTTACACAAAATGCAGTTAAAACACTGCATCATGAAAATGAAGTAACACTTCAGACTGGTAAGTGCTAACTTTTTTGGTGCGAACAAATTTCAGCTAAACGTGTGATGAAAATGAATGCATACATCTGAACAGAAAAGTCTTGAAGGGCAAAGTGGAAAAAATGAATTGGCTTTTTTCTTACATTAATATTATATATCTAATGCTGTATCTAACACAGTAAGACAGAGAAAATATATATTTTTCTGCATAATTTCACAATATTTCTGCATATATTTTCATTGCCTGCTAGGGTAATGCATAAAACATATTTTTGCAGCTTTTTGGCTCACAATTAGCATACAGTCAACTTTTTACGGTCATAAGGTTCCCTGAAGGTCAGTGTCAAAAAAATAAAAAATGAAGAAAAAAAAAAGTGAAAGAAACTGGCGGTCAAATGTTAACAATTAGCATGCATATTCTAATCAGAATCGATACTGTGATTCGTGAGTCATTTAACGGCTGCAGTGATCCTGTGAAATGCTACAACTGAAAAATTATTTCTGACATTTGACTGCTGCTAAAGAGGTTAAACATCTTTAAACTGTGGAAAATAAGTATTATGTAATAAAGAAAACATTTTTACGATGTAAATGAATATATTCTGTCTAGGGCTGTCAAATCGATTAATCGTGATTAATCGCATCCAAAATAAAAGTTTGTGTTTACATAATATATGTGTGTGTACTGTGTATATTTATATGTATATATACAGTAAATACACACACAAACACAAACATTTATTTTGGATACGACTACTCGCGATTAATCAATTTGACAGTCCTATTTCTGTCCTTTCACAGACTTACATTACCAACGTTTAAAATTAACGGTGAGTTTCATATGACGATGCTTGTAAAAGCTGCCAGCTGCTGTAGGGATTAGAGAAAGTCAAACATGTTTTTTAATTGTGAGCTGGATAAGAAGGGCAGGTGGCAACCTTATTCTCATTAAACCAGAAAATCTCTACTTCCAAAAATTATGGAGCTGATCCAGATCCGCCTTCCTCCTTCCCAAGAGGCGTATTCCTTTACTCCTTCAACAAACAAACAAAACCTCACGAAGGAGGGTGAAAAAAACATCAGGTTCAGGAATTGCCAAGCACATCATTTTGGAGAGAGCTTATATCCGCCGACTTGCCGTGATAGTTTTAAAATCGGCAATAAAAATGCCACGGCTCGGTGTAAAATTGGGGATTTGAGAGGGATTGTGGTTGAATCTAGTAAACAGACAACAATGGCGTGTGCGCAAGCAGAACCGCACCCCCAAGCAACCCCGCTGCCTGATTTTCAGAGAATGTCTGCATCTTAGGGGAGGCTGGTGGGAAAGCAATCTCTTCTTTTTAGATTTCAGTCTTTTTTATTGCATGCCGTCATGCATTTCCAAATCCATTCCCATTCAGTCTGTTTTTCCCCAGGTTGTTTGGAAGGTGGCCCGATTTCTCTTAGAGCTATTCCCCACTAGCTCTGAACGGAGCCTGACAGTTTCCACCAGGCTCCTCTACTTTTCACGGAAGGACTGAGTGACTCTTGGGGAAGGAATCGGGTCTCCACACTACAGGAATCACTTTGGGAATCAACACCGCCGTGGGTCATTCACCTAAACTCCTTGAACTGTCAAAAATCTAATATCCTAAATCTAAAATCTATACCCCCATGACCTTTCCTCGCTCTCTGTCTTTATCTGCTTTGAAAGTTTTCTCTCATTTCAAACACACGTTATCATTCTCTCTAGCCAATTCACCCTTTTTTTCACTTCTAAAGCTTTTGTTCCCTACTTTAATTCTGCCCTTAAATCGCCTCTGTTGAAATGCTGGAAAACGTCCAGACTATAACGTATCGCTTTAACAGCCCTGGAAGCTGTCGTTTCAGAAGATTCATGTCTGTTTCTTCTCAGTTTAGATAAACAATTTAGTTACTTTCATTCTTTGGCTACAAACATTATGTCTCTGTGCCCACCCTGTGTTCACTGTGTGAATGAGATTAACGTTTGAATCTTATGATGGTATCTACAGCTTTAATCAATCACCATTAAATCAACATTAAACAATCCAATCAATCTCTCCAATTTGTTTTGAGTCCAACTGTTGTTTATCAAAGGCTATGTTTAGAACGGAATACAAGTGTACTGCTACACACAGTGTACTGACTACTTTTTTGTTTGTTATAATAGTATTTGAATGATGTGTTTTAAAATGAAGTACATTACCGATCACCTAAGGGGACATGATGATAGAAAAAATATATGAGATGATGGGAGGAAAAATTATATTTAAATGCATTTGCATTCACTTGCAAAACTTCTGCATTCCTTCACAAAAAATTTTGTTCCCTAAGAAACTTTGCATTCCCTTTCAAGGGAACTTCGAACTGTGTCCTCTAGGGGGCGCTATGGGGAACGCCTCGTCGTTACCCGTGTCTGAAGCATACATTGAAAAAACACCAACAACACATTGGCCGGCGACAGCCCATGACGTCACTACCGGTGCGACTATTAGTATAAATAGGCACCGGGAGAACATGTCATTCTCTTCTTCGCCTTCAATGACTGTTTTGTTTGAAGTGTGCATTTGAACATGGTAAGAGCGATCTCTATCCTATTATTATGGTATGGCAGTGCTCCAGGCGTATCAGGCTGCTCTGCCCGCGGGTAGGGGAAGGAGGAATCGTGGGTCAAGGGGAGGTAGGCAAGACCTAAGGGATGTGATCCAGACAAGGCGTCAGCGCTTTCGTCCAGATCAGAGTGATACTTGAGTATCTACTCATTTCCTTCGGGGGTTTTACATCATGACCTTTTCTTCCCCTTCCTAATTCCCCTATAACCACCAGCACTTCACCTGACCGAGGTTAGGTAGGAATTTCCTGCATTACAGTCTCCTAT